CACTCACCTCAGCCTCCCAAGGCGCGGGATTACAGGCTGAGCCACTGAGCCCGGCTGATAGTGTTTTTAATAATAAACATTGTGGCAGGGCTCCGTAGCTCAGCCTGTAATCCCAGCATTTTGGGAGGCTGAAGTGTGTGGATTGCCTGAACCCGCGGGTTCAAGACCTGCCTGGGCAATTTGGCGACACCTCATCTCTACAATAAATCAAAAAATTAGCCGAGCATGGTAGGTGCGCCTGTAGTTCTGGCTAATTGGAAGGCTGAGGTGGAAGGATCCCTGGAGCCCAGCAGGTTGAGGCTGCGGTGGCTGGGAACGTGCCACTGCACTCCAGTCTGGGTGACAGAGACTCCGACTCAAATAATAATAATAGTAATAATAATAATAATAAACATTGCTAAAGATTTGAGTCATCCAACAATGAAATGGGACCCCTTCTAGATAATAAATCTCCAATAACTAGAAACATTAAGCATCAGCTGGATAGTCCTCCTTTCAGTGATGTTCTAAAAGATATTCCTGCCTCGATGGGACACAAATTAACTCTGAGGTCCCTTCTACCACAAAAAACCTGTGGAACATTTACTATCTTGAACACTCTTGGTACTGAGTATTCAGTTAAAAAACATTTTTAAATGAACACTGCCCTAAGCAATCGCAAAATGGCACAAAGGGCCAGGCGTGGTGGCTCATGCCTGTAATCCCAGCACTTTGGAAAGTGAAGGTGAGAGGACTGCCTGAGCCCAGGGGTTCGAGACCAGCTTGGGCAACTTGGTGAGGCCTCATCTCTACAATAAATAAAAAAAATTTAGCTAGGCATGGTGGTGCACACCTGCAGTTACAGCTACTTGGAATGCTGAGCAGAAGGACCACCTGAGCCCAGTAGGTCAAGGCTGTGGTGGCCACAAGCATGCCACCGCATTCCAGCCTGGGCGACAAAGTAAGACTCTGACTAAAAAAAAAAAAAAAAAAAAAGTGGTACAAAGGAACTGTCTTTTAGCCCAGACACAGGTAAAAATTAGTCCAATCAAAGCTAATGTTTCACAAGAGAAGCAACATTAGTACAAAAGGTAATGAAAACAATACTTCTCAATTAGTTACACTAAAGCTCTGAGGATTTCCTTATTCCCACAGAGAGGTCTTTACATACACATTAAGGAGAGAGGGAATGAAATTAGGACTCTTCTCAGGAAGTAGAGGTTGCAGGAAGGGTGGGGGCTAAAATGACCCATTCAAGAAAAGAATCAAGTTCAGGAGCTGAAAAAAGGGTAGAAAAGCCAAGGAATACAGTACTCTACTGGCATCTAAACTTTTTTAAAGAGATGAGGTCTTCCTATGTTGCCCAGGCTGGACTTGACTGACCTCAAGTCATCCTCCTGCCTCAGCCTCCCACATAGCTGGGTCTACAGGCATGCACCACTGCACCCAGCTTGAAGTAACTCTTCTGCCTGATCTTATGACTTTCAGCATCTATTCCCTATTTCAAAAAATAGAATACTGAACAACTACCAGCAGCATTTATTAGATATTTATACTTTAAAAAAAAAAACAGCTGGGCTCGGTGGCTCAGCCTGTAATCCCGAGCTTTGGTAAGCCGAGGTGAGTGGATTGCCTGTTCACGTGGGTTCGAGACCCACCTGGGCAACGTGGCGAGACCTCATCTCTACAGTAAATTAAAAAATTAGCCGGGCGTGGTAGCGCACACCTGTAGTTCCAGCTACTTGGAAGGCTGAGGCGGAAGGATCGCCAGAGCCCAGCAGGTTGAGGCTGCGGTGGCCGGGAGCGGCCACTGCACTCCAGTCTGGGTGACAGAGTGAGACTCCAACTCAAAAAATAAAATAAAATAATAAAAAAAACAAACAGGCATTGGACTATCTGAATAAACATTTATACTTTGAATTCTCTACTTCCAACTATTCTCTTAATTATCTTTTAGACTGGGCCCAAAGATACCGAATGCATCCATTCCTTTACTTGTCTTCAAAGTTCATCAGTGCCTGCACTGCAAAGAAAACAGACAGTGAGGCTGGAGAGCTAAGACTATTCAGAACATATAAATGTTTTGGGAAGACCCTGTTTTTCTGGGTTCTAGATTCCACACAAACCTTTACTAATCTTTACTCTAAATTAAGCCATATGAGTCTGTGTACTCTTTGCCACAAACAACCTTCTCCTTTTTGTCCTGTTCTCCTCAGGGCTAAGAATGACTGGGCGGAACAGGATTCACTTCAGACAACACTTTAAAGTAAATAAAGCCTGTCTTTGACAAACTGCCCTACATTCCATGTTCCAATGTTATAAATTCCTCTTATTGCCCACCTGTGCCCACTACATATAAACTTCAGTCCTCCTCTCTAATTTCTTATTTTCATATTGAATTGATTTCAACTAAGTATAAGGACAAAATCCCAAATAATAGGAATTCGTATTATTTGTAAAAAAACTTGCCCCCAACACTTCTGGGTTTTTTTAGTTTAGAGGGAATTTTTTTTTTTTTTTGCTGAGTCTCACTCTGTCACCCAGGCCGGAGTGCAGTGGTACACTCACGACCACTGCAGCCTCAACCCACTAGGCTCAGGTGATCCTTCCGCCTCCGTCTTCCAAGTAGTTGGAACCACAGGCATGTGCTACCACATCTGGCTAATTTTTTGATTTATTGTAGAGGCAAGGTCTTGCCATGTTGCTTAGGCTGGTCTCAAACCCCTGAGCTCAGGCAATCCTCTCACCTCTGCCTCCCAAAGTGCTGGGATTACAGGTTTGAGCCACTGCACCAGGCCTTAGAGGGAAATTTTATTAATCCAAATTGATCTCCAAGTGGTGAAATTTAAGAAAAAATAAACAGTTCTCAGGCTACATCAAACTCTACTATTTAAATCATATACTCTCTTTGCTAAAGCTGACCCTAGAAGGGGATGATAGGAAGATAAAGTTGAAATTCATAAACCTCTTTTTTTTTTTTTTTTTTTTTTT